GGGAAACTTGAACAAGCCAAACTTTCACTGACTAAACAGATCAACAGCTCACTACCAACCGCCAGTTACCCAGGAACGCCCTCGCGATTCAGTTCACTAAACCATTCTCCTGAACTTTCCACCTACGAAATCTCTTTAACCCCCCCTTACGTGGAGTCTCGATCAAAATATGTTACACAAAGTAATAGGGTCACTTATCCTTTCCAACGGGCTTTCCCAGAGGTCTCTTCTTCAGCTCCTTCATACAGGCCTATATCTGAAACTAACTTTGAGGCAGGCCAACCATCTTCAACCCCTTACGTGGAGTCTCGATCAAAATATGTTACACAAAGTAATAGGGTTACTTATCCTTTCCAAAGAGCTTTCACAGAGGTTTCTTCTTCAGCTCCTTCATACAGGCCCATATCTGAAACTAACTTTGATGCAGGCCAACCATCTTCAGTGAGGTTTAATCCTAACTCGAGTTCACGTCTTCCCTTCTCTAGTAAACTTACATACCCTTCCTATCCCAAGTTCCCAGACATGGTGCCAAAACTACCCCCAAATGAAGTGTTCTCGAGAAATTTTCCTACGAATGAGACAGATCTACCTCCCTCATTTTCCTTCTCAACCTTGAGCCAAGAGGTGGTGCCAAGACTACCCTCAACCGAAAAAGTTTCAAGAATTTTTCCTACAAATGAGACAAACCCACCTCCCTCATTTTCCTTCTCAACCTTGAGCCCCGAGGTGGTGCCAAGACTACCCTCAACTGAAGTATTCCCGAGAAACATTCCTACGAATGAGGCAGGTATTCCTCCTTCATTCGCCTTACGTAATGATCCTCATATCAGACCAAATATGTATAGAGGTTGATATTGTTCACAGTACAGTTCTTGGTAAAGAAAATCTTCATATAGCTCAAATGTTTTGAGAAGTGCTTACATAGGTTACATTAATCTCTAGTTTTGTGTATCATTTACTTCTTTAATCATCTTAATCCCAGCCTAGTTAGGTTTTACAGAGAAACATCAGCAATATACCTTTTGGTTTTTGAAGCTGTTGCTGTATACTAGGTGTGTTGTAAAATGGCAGACACATTTGAAATTTATTGGCAGGTGCTATAACATAAGTGTTTTCATTCTCTCTTTTTTTGGTTCTGTTTTGGTTTCCCACCGGATGGTATCCGTATTGGAGTCCGACTAGTCCAGATTTGTGCGAGTGGGGCCTCTATTCGGGGTAGCACTCCCAGCCAAGGATTTCTTAATACCCAATGCTCAAATCCGAGAATTCTGGTTAAGGGAGGAGCAACCTCATCACTTGCGCCACATTTCATTCTTTTGTTTTCCAATGACATTTGCTAAGAGTTTTGACTTCTCAATTACTACAACAAATAAAGAATTTTGGTGGCGATAATAAATATGATATTTATGATCAACACTTTATATATACGTCATTAAAGGTTTTAGTGAATCTGGATGTAATTATATTCACTCAATTACAGTTAAATGAAAATTTACTATCTCTTTTATCATAAGGAATGCAAGACGAATTATAGTATCTAAAATTTCCTCTCAAGGACAGTTAGCTTTATTGTAAACAAAGAACTCCCGACTAATCTGAATTCATAACGTGTAAGACTATCATCATTTATTTAAAACCTCTTATTAACGATGGAGGGATAGCTAATTTGAATTCATAACGTGTAAGAATATTAGCATTTATAAAAAACCTCTTATTAACGATGCAGGGATAGCTAATCCAGCTCCCACTACAAACCTTGGGGTTAATAGAATTGATTGTGACAATTCAATGTTGGAATCAAATATCAAACAAGATTAATTCAATATGACTAGGTCAAATTTGACTAGTCATGTTAATTCATTTGCTTGTCAAGTTTAACTACACGTTTATAAAGAAGAAATCTTTATTTAATTTCAACCCCTCTCTCTCTATATATATGTAGGAGCAACCAAACTAAATTAATCAAACATAGCATAAAACTCCATATTTTTTTTAAAAAATGTCCACTCATGACTTGTATGATACCATAGAAACAAGAAATATGCCATCTAAGACAAGTACTAGTAATAATACCAGAAATGATTTTGATCATGATAATAATAAAAACGAAGATCGAGGACATCTTGATCCCATGATAATGGAACTCTTGGAACCATTAAGGGAAGTGTATATAAAAAGAAGGGATGAATTATTGAAGAAAATTGATTATGAAGAATCAATAGAGATGTTGAAGAAATTGAAGGTTGGTATAATAAGAAAGAATAAAAAGAAGTTGAAAACTCAAACTATTATGAAGAGAAGTTTAAGTGTTGGAGATGAAATGAGAAATGAAAAATTTAAGATCAAGACTCCTCATGTTGTTATAGTGGCTAGACCAAATGGTTCCAATAATTAATTTTGGCTAGACCCCTAAGTAAATTTTAAGAAATTACGTAGGGTTATAGATGATCCTTCTAGCAACGTTTACTTGTATATTTGATATTTTTTACATATGAATTATTATTATTATTATTTGAATTTTGTTGTCCCTTTGTTTCATTTTTTTTTTCTTTATTCTTTAGTTAAAAAATGTGAGTGGAAATTTAGGAAAACGTAAGAAAAAAAAATTAAAAGTCATTTTAATTTTTGACATTAAGCACAAAGATATTCAATTATTCCATTTGGGACAAGTGTACAATCATAATGCATCTGAAAATCTCCAATGATGTGCTAATCATTATATTCTATGCTAAAATCAAATCAAATCTTATCTTAGTCATAATAAATTAATAAATGAAGAAAGTTATTTAAGTTTAAAATAATTATTAATCTCAAAATAGGTGTCACACAACTATTAAAATAATTATTAATGTAATTATCCGTGGCAAGCACGTTTCAAATAATATTACTTAGCTTGTTCAAAATTAAATATATCCTTAATGATTTCAATAATTTCGTGATAATTACGTGAGATGTTTAAAGAAAGATATAAGTAAGTTAGATGAATATATTTTATACTAAGGTCATAAAATATTTAAAAAGGAATATGTATGAAATTATTAAAAAATTAATACTATGAATTAGTTCCCCTTTTACATTTTTCTTGATAAACCTACGTAGATAGATAGAGAGATTGTTTTTGAAATCTCATGAAAAAAACTTAAAAACTAACAACGGGCAATGCAAATTCTACGAGAATGTAACAAAAGTGGACTAGTGGTGGTTAAAACACAATAAACAACTGAGCGTGATGTATAGATACTACAGTTAAAAAAAAACTATAATAATAAGCTAGTACAATAACAAAATACCAACAAGATTTAAACTCCACGACCTATTAATATTCTATCATGCGTGTTATTCACGTCTTTCTATCTAAGGTCATATCTTCGATAATATAAATTTGTGTCATACCATGTCCTATCACTTCTAAACACTTTTTGGGCCTAGCTACTTCTATCTCTCACATCTCCCAATTAGGGTGTTTGTCCATCTCCTTTTTAGATGTTCAAACAATCTCAATTTCGCTTTCTCTATTTTATCTATCACAAACGTCATTCCAATCTTATGTTAAATATCTTCATTTTTAATCGTATTTAGTCTTTGTATACCGTACATCCACCTCAACAATCTTATCAAATGACCATGTATTGACCAATTTTTTTTTACCGGTTCAAAAATTAATGTTCCATTTCCTCATCATAGGATATCGTGATTGTGACATGTCTAATCTATTTTTTATCCAAACAAATTTAAAGCGCGTTAATACATACTACATTAATAAATTAACCTGTTCAAATTTAATTCAAACCGCCTATTACAAACTTTATATATAGAAACATTCCAAACTTAATCCTAAGCCTCAACTACCCTATTTTATTAATTCCAAGTTTCCAATCATAGAGTCCTCTCATACATTTATATTCATTTCAACATTCTTTCTTTTATCATTTTTATTTAATTAATTCTTCTTTCTCTAAGTTTATCTTGTACAAACAAATTTATTAACTATATGTCAATGGAAGATCTCAAGGAAAAATCAATTCTTGATTTTGTTGAAAATGTTGAAAATATTCAAGAAAATCCAATGATGATAAGATGGAAATCAGGAAAAGAAGTTGATCCAAGATTGATTATACTACTAGATTTCTTTAGAGATGTCTACATGAAAAGAGGAGAATTCTTCAAGAAAATATTTCCATTTCATCATGAAGATTTTATTCCTATATTTGAGAAAATTGGAGTAGTGTTTTCAAACCATAAGGATCAAGAAAAGAAATTCAAGAAGAATTCATTCAAAAGGAGCCCAAGTGATAACTCTTTAAACAAGAGTAGAGGAATCGATATTGATCCATCTCGATTGAAACTTGAAAAATTTAAAGTCAAAACCCCAGAGGTTATATCTGGTGGCGATGGTGGTGGTGGTAGTGGTGGCCAAGGGCAAGGCAGCACAAAGGCATCTAGTTCTAAATAAGTAAAACTAGTTACGTGAAAATAAAATGGACAAACCGTTATTAAGTGTTAATAAATTATACTGACAGTATAGAGATTCTTTTAAGTCGTTGATGGTGTGTATATGTTATGATCTTTTTTTTATTTGAAGAACTCTCTTTGGGTTGACTTGTGTTAATGTGTATACAACAAAAAGTTAATGATTTAGTTTATTGCCTTTTTTAGTTTCCATTATTTGCATTTGTTTCTATAATTTTTGTTTGACTTGAAAAAAATTAATTATTGCATCCTCAAAATCATGTAATTAGATTTTTGTATTTATGCTTACAATTGTGTAATTGTACTTAAAATATGTATATAAGCTCGAGATTAAGTTTTGTTAAATTGCATTAAGTCTAATTGGAGTTCTTTTGCCTCATATAACTAATACATGTTGTATGCAATTAATAAACAAAAAGATCAAGCTAATTAATATCTCTTCATAATTGTGTTTAGGATTTTAGAGAGGCATATTCTACTTTTAATTTTTTTTTCCATTTTTGCACTATGTTCAGTGACATTTTTTTTTATTTTTAAATTAGGCTCATCAATAATTATTGAAACTTTTATTAGTTCAAGTGTATTGTTGAGGTAGACAAGAATTTGTTGACTTGTTTGCTCTTGAAAAACTGAAGAATTGTGTTTTTTTTTAAAATAAAAAAAAGGAAATTATAGATATGTGTCAGGAACGTCTTAATAAAATTAGTAATTTTATATTAAATTATAATAAAAGGCCTTAAATATTTGTAGACGTGCACAAAAATATTATTGATTTAGGGTTTGTTTTTTTTTTAATTCTTAGCGTATTGTTTATAGCGTTTAACTTCACGTGGTAAATATTATACCAAAATAAGGATGATCAAGATATATAATAAAAGAAGAAATTGTATTAATATTTAAAGAAAACTACTCATGCAACAATATGTCCTCTACCACAAATTCATATTTTTCTAAAAGAAAATTAGTCATATTCAAGCTATATATAAGTTTATAACCTAATGTAACCAAAAAAAAAAATTGCATGCTAATAAACATTAAAATTCAAATATATCCAATACAGCCTCAATACTTGAATTCTCATATGGATTATTTCCATTAAATACCTAATTCTCCATTATTGTTCAATGTACTTGTACTTGCTTCATAATTACCCTCTAATTGATTGTCATTATCATTGCTAATTACTTGATCATAATTACCTTCAAATAGATAATTCACTAATCCATCAACATCTTTATCCTCAACATCATTGTCATCATCGTCATCATTATTATTTCCGTCTTCTCCTTTTTTCTTCTCTTTAATTTTGCAAATGACGAAAATATCCTTGTTGTTACTTTTCTTAATATACTCATATGGCAAAATATATTCCTTCAAAAGCCATTTTTTACTTTGATTTTTTTCAATATCACTTTTATACCTCAAACTTCTCTTATATCCAATTATAATATTTTTATTTGATTTATCACTAATTGGAACAGCACATGCTTTGCCACTCCAAGTCCCACTCCCAACTGTCCTTGAGAATTTCTTGTTCGAATTCTTGAATTTCTTTAATCGCGTAATAAAATAACATGTTTTTTCTCCATCGATAATTTGCCATGGCTCTAAGTCTCCAAATACGTCCTTTTGTTTGATAACATTGGGACGTGGAAGAATTCCATCGAACATGTATCTTTTTAGATGGTTAATCAACTCTTTATCGTTAGGATGAAATCGAAAACCTAAACTATGCTTAGATTTTGATAATGCCATTTGATTTGTACTTAGGGTTTTTTTTGTTTTTGTTTTTTTTTGGTATGTGTAATAGAATTTAATTGAATATTGTGGAGTTTATATAGTATGTTGATTAAGCCTAATCTATCTAATATTATGTTAATTAAGCCTAATCCATCTAGTATTCGGATAGTTGGAGGTATTATACAAGTGTTAAGTAAGTCTAATCCTCTAACTTTTTGTTAATTACCAAATTTGACTACTAATCTTCTTGTTAATTACCAAATTTGAATTTAATTTTAAATATTACTAAAATTAATTCTCAAGAATTTAAACATGACAATATATATTTGGAAGGAAAGTAGCAATGAATTACCCCGTGTTTATATTACATTACTACTTTTTGGAAATCATGCAAATTAATTTTAAAAATTACGTTGGACTTAATCATATATTTAATAATCAACATGCTTTTTTTAAATTTGTGGTATATTTTTTTAAATTTGTGGTATACGAATTTCCTTACAACCATACACAAGACGAAAGAAAACTATCTTATTAAGAGTTTTCTATCATATATCGAGAAAAATACGTGTATTTTGCAGTTAAATATATTAAATTAAAAAAATTGTTACAACATACACTAAAATAAGGAGATACGAGAGCGAGATGAGGAGGAAGGCTAGCAAGAATATTGGGAGGGAGATAGACATGTATCCAGATACATACAAATGCACCAGATATATGTATGAATCTGTTATGATTCCCATGTATCTGTGATACCAAATACATGAGAGAGTCGTGAGCAAGATGTGAAGAGATACAATATATCTAGAACAAATTACACACATTTTGCAATAAAATCTGATAAGATCCATAATATTATAAATTAGAGCGTATCTAAGTAATTAAACTCTTAAACTAGTGGAATTTTCCTAAAAGATTACATATTCACATAGGAATTTGGAGGCTATATTTCAGGCCCAAAACAAATGAATATAAAGATGGACCATATATAACACAATTATGGGCCTAACCATCTTTTACTATATATATATATAAATTATACACTAATTATATATATTAATAGGCACTTTCTAATCTAAAAATGATATGGGAGGTTATTTAGATTAATAATCATGGTGATTATCTCTTCACCAAAGAATTAAAATATTAAGCAATATGATTAGTGGGAGGGTCCATTACCCAATTAGAGTGTCAATTAAAATTAAAACAAAAAAATTATCTACACCTTTTGCATTAACTAGAAGAAGAAAAAAAGTATATCTTGCAATTTGCTTAAAGTTAAAACTATTTTAATAATTCAATGGTGCAATCATAAGTGTCCCAAAGTTAGTGGTACTCACTAAAATCATTTAAAAGTTAGATTTTTGTCTTTTCTTATACATGGGATTTTAAAAACAAAAAACGAAATAAAAATGGAGACCCCATTATAAAGATGCATTCGTTTTTACGTGTGTTCATGATAATTTTGTGTTTTATCTGGAGTCCTACACGTATCGATGTGAAGAGATTGTTGTATTGTGTGAAGGTATATATATGTATATATATATATATAGAAATGACATAGTAAACTTATCATTTTACTTCTATTAATCATGAAGTCGATGAATTAAAAATTTAAAATTTTAAAAAATTACTATCTTTTTCAAAGTAATTAATTGAAGATATAATAATTTTTTTTAAAAAAAGCTAGTATGTAACATCAATATAATGGTACTAATAAAGAAAATTAAAACAAAATATTAAACTATACCAAATTTAGATAGACAAGATATTTAGGGGACTAAGAAAAAAGTAACAAATGTAAATCATTAATTAATTTAATTAGGTAATTTATTTGAATTGACAATTATTTGCACTTTATGTCACTCTCTCTTTTTCTTTTTTATAGATATTTTCCCCTTTGAGACATTATCATTACAATTAATAAAAAGAATAATCAAGTTGGATCAAATTGTCCTTTATTCTCTTTCTTTTATCTTGGTAAATTCTTAAGGTTGAGAATACGAAGGTTAGCTAATTGATAATTTTCGGTGAAAGAGTCACAATTATTATTTTGTATTAAAAATAGGAAAACGGAATGATATATTCTTTAACTTTGTTATTTAGAGCTGATATATTCCTCGTTATAAAAGTTGCTCATATATACCCCTACTTGTAAAAAAATGGCCCACATATACCCTTTTCCTCTAACAAAAATGAAAAAAATAATAAATTTAATCTAAATTTTTATTATTTTTTCTAAAAAATATAATCCCATATGAGTAAATTTAATCCTTGTCAAACATTTTTTTTTGTTTTAATGACTAATTTATAATAATTATTTTGATAATCAAATTTATTTATGTTTCACTAATATTCTTGTAAAACTTATTATAGATGACCAAATTTTTTCTTCAAATACGAAATTAAACTACAATACACACAAAAAAATAGTTTAAATTTTTTTCTTTAAACTAAGGAATGAAAGAAAAAATAAAATAAGAATAAGAAACTCAAATAATTATAATAAAATTAAAATATGCCTTGAACTTAGATAAAAGAATCATATATACCCCTAAATAATTTTTTTAAAAAAATTAGAAGTAACAAATATAAATTTAAAACTAATTTTTTAATTTCCGTTAAATAAAGGGTATATGTGAGCCATTTTGTAACAGTAGGGGTATATGTGAGCCGTTTGTATAACGGTAAGGGTATATATGAGCCACTTTTATAACGAGGGATATATCAGCTCTAAATGACAAAGTTGAGGGATATATCAAACCCTTTTCCCTTAAAAATATACAAAAAAAAAAAATTATAAACATATAAAAAAGGTAATTAAATTTAATATATAATAAATATTGACATAAAAATAAATAAATTTATTTATATAGTGTAAATTTAATTTTAGATGAAAAATATCAATTTGACTCTTTTCAAATAATAATATAATCTTTTCAAATAATAATACAATAGCTCACCCTTATATATAAAGCTAAAAGTCGATAGTAATTGAAATTTATTAAATGCATAGTGGATATATATACTGTCACTTTTTTCACACTAATTAATTTTTTTTATCATACGAAGGAAGATATATATTCTCATCATCGCTTATGTCATTTAATTACAACTCGTAGCTACTTTTCCAACAACAACAAAAAAATATATATATATTTTTAATTTACAAGTTGTTCCATTTTCTGCATTTTAATTATGATGTTTTTCTCCACAACAACCCCATTTGATTTAGACACTGATATTTCACATACTCTTGAGATTTTTAAAAAGAGAATATAAATGTTTAGAAATACTTATAATTTAATTCTTACATTTTGAACCGTTCAAGCAAGTTCTCGTCTCAACTAATTAGTCATTTTTATTACTAGAAAGAATGTGATCGCATGAATAAAATCCTTTCGTTTTTAATAAAAAATTTTATATTTAAATTTCAAAAGTAAAATAACTCTTGATAATAAAATTTTTCTTATTTATATATCTATATTATACGAAATTGAATTTAATCGAACAAGAGAATATGGAATAAAGTAAATCATATCCTTTCTACAATAAATGATCAACACTTCAATTGACTTCACCCATATCACAATTATATCTATCTAGACAAATAAATAAATAAATAATATATATATATATATATATATTCAACAAATTGTAGATGGCAAGAGTAACTATATTATAGTGGGAAGTCATGATGCATGTGGACAAAATGGATAAGAGATATATAAGATAACTACAACTAAATAATGTCGAGGTTGATATTTTTTGGAAAAGAACTAATTATTTTTTTGAAATTTTAATAGTTCTTTTTTATAATTTTACGATATTATGTGGTCGTTAAATTTTTATCACGATTTCTATTTTATTGGGTAAACACTTTGTATACAAAATAGACCTCGTAATACGTTATTTAAATTATACCTTGTACTTTTTAATTACTTAATAGACATGAAAATAGCTAAAATGATAGAGGATAATAACGAATAGACATTCTAATAGTTTTATTCATAAGGTATTTGTATTCAATTAACACTTCACAAGAAGGGTGAATTAAAATAATGTTTTGATTTTTTTTAAAAAAATGTGTAATTGTTTAATACATTTTCAGTTAATCAAAATGACTAATATTTAGAACCTTGTAACAACTCTGGATCCATCATTTCAGCATCACATGCATTGGTTCCTATGAATCCATGGGTATATATTATTAATTATTGGATTACAAAGTACAAAAATTATCTGGATATATATTATTAATTATTGGATTACAAGTACAAAAAAGTTTTACTAGGTTTACACTAAATAATGTCAGTCAATACACCAACAACCAGAAAAAAAGAGTTGTATATATATATATATATATATATATATATATATATATATATA